ATGATGTTGTCCATAGTGCAGCAATAGTGTTTTGCAGTCCTTGTAGTGGAAGGAACGAAACAAAACACTACAACAACTTGAAAATCGTCATGCAAAAACGGGGGACCCTGGATTCAGAATCCAGTGAAATATCTGTGTCACCTAATACAGTTTTCCTGTAATCTGAGCTCAAAGATGAGGATATTAAAAGTACAGTAGAGTAAATTGGGTAAATTTTATTGTTAATTTTCTCTGAATCATACAGTAATTTGGGCTGTGGATCACAGGGGAAAAAGTGGAGATGAACCAAACTGGGAGTGGATTGTGAAGTAAAATAGTGTCAGGACACAAAAGACTGCGTTTCTAAGCCGGGCTTCACCCATACCGTAATATGCGTAAGAGTAGTGCAACCACATTTTCGGTGCGGCTAGCTTGACTGTGACTTCGTAAGTGAGGGCTCACTTGACCGCAGGTTCACCGTTCAGTCGACAGGACGCCATCGCCATAAATACGTCGTGTAAGTTAAGAGGCGAAAAGGCTGAAATGCGTCCATGTGGAGGCATATCGATTATCAACATAACGTGCTAATAATCGATACTTATCTGAAATGTGAGATGGACTGTTAAACGATTCATTTACCCGAGTGTTCATCAGTATGTGCACCAGTCCAGTGGCTCCGTGTGTGGAGATATTTCTAAAGTGTACAAAAGCTGCTGTGGATGAAATCCTCAGTGTGAAGTCTACAGGCCACGAGGGTCAGGGAGATGAACACTAATGAGCTGCGCGCTGAAGCAAACCAGAAGACAGAGGAAAATGATTTGGTGTCGTTTGTAATTAAGACTCCGAGCTGAAAGTGTTCGTGCAGCAGAAACCACGAAACCCGTGGAGTCAAATCCACATCCTGCATCTGAGACGACCGACCACTGCGGACTCTGGACTCACCAGCCTCAAGACACAGCAATGATTGTATGTTTCTATATTACAGCGTGGAGAGTTATCAGCAAACCTCAGACTGACCGTCTGTTCACACATTAAACCTCACAGTAAGTTTATTCAAGCTCTGACGATCTCCTCAATGTAAACAAGTTCGCCCAAATAAACTGAAGGTAGCCAGGACAATAAACCTAATCAGACACTTCAAATGACTCTCACAGCTGAACATTTTAAAGGAGCTAACAATAGCAAAGTGGCTAGAGCTAAAGCTAGCTACAAGCCAGCAGCCTCGGTATGAGCAACGCATCACAGCATAAACGCTCTGGTTCTGTTACATTAAGCAATAAACATGAACGTTTGTTTTAATATATAAATCTGTCTCAACTCTGAGTTTGTCAGGTCAAATTTATCAGCTAAATGTTCAGGAAATCGTTTCCACTTCATTACTTGGAATCAGCTGTAAATAAGAGAGGACCTTAATGCAGTCTGGGGGAAACTGGAAAGTTTATTCATTCATTTCTGAAAATACTATTTTACATCGAAGGAAAGTTTATTTTTCTAATATCTCAGTTACACATCTCAGAAAGAAAACCCACTTCAGCACTTTAATTTTTCATTTTCTCAGACGCCAAAACTTCAAATATAACATTCATTAGTTCATTATTAAATGTGATTATGTTGCAGTTATTTATATTTCAAATGTCGTACCAGGAGTCAAAATGTTTCATTCAAAAATCAATTCTTAATCATTTGCTCCATCAGTCAGTCTGCTCCATAAGATATATATTTTTTCTTAAGAAACACCTTTGATGTTGATACAGCTTGTCTCTCACAGTCATCTAGTATTTTCTCATTTTGAGCCTTCGGGCAGCTCCGCCTGCTCCATCCTACGTTCCTTCCACCTGATGCTACGAAGAAACTTATGGAAAAAAAAGAACAACATTGCCATCCTGAATCACTGCTGTGAGTGAATCGAGTGCACCGATGAAGAAAGAAGCACCAACCCAGCAATGATGAGGAGGAAAACGTGTATTCACTTCTTTCTACAGTGTGGAAACAGATTCAGAGAGGAGGACACAGGAGTCTGTGCAAAGTCTGCGTTAAATGGAAAAGGTGGGTGCTGCAGGTGGAGGTCCGTCGGGCTCTGACAGCTTCATGCTCCGTCACCTCCTCTCAGCACTTCCTGTGAGTCCAGTATTCTTTGATCCAGCCGAGACCCTCGTCTGTGGAGCCTGCAGTGCAAAGAGAGAGTTAATTACGGCTGTTTTCTAAGTCTTTATCATTCCTTAAATCACACGAACACTCACCTTGCGGCTTGTACTCACACCCGATATAACCCTGGTAGCCGATGTTTTCCAGTGTGTCGAACAGGTAGCTGTAACTGAGCTCTCCGGCGCTGTCGGGCTCATTTCTGCCGGGAACCTGAGCAATCTGGACGTGACCTGAGAAACGTGACAACCTATCATCGTGTGATGTGTTCACACCAAACAAAACCAGGTTTTATGTGTGAAACTGCCCACATTTGTGTTGGGCAACATAAAGAGCAGAGGTCAGCGCCTAACTGTGGATGGGATTACCTCCAGTAACACGGAGGAACTGGGAGTACTTTAGTCCTTCAATACAGACACTAAAGAAACACGTAGGACTGCCGTCTTTCATCTGTGCAACGACGTGTCAGAGTGAAAATCAGCCGTGCATTTGTTACTGCTACACTTCAGTCGATGCAAACAGAACTAAACGAGACAGAAGGACGGAGCACAAGTGCAGACGCAGCCTCTCTGAGTGCAGCTGACAGAGGTCAGTGTTCATATCACATCAATATTATGAGCTCTGCAAGGTGATTTTAATTAACATCCTTAATGCCACTTGTGTGATAAGACACAGATACCTTTAGTCTGCCTCTGAGAGAGAAAAAAAGCTGCTCGATAACAAGGTTCAAGTTTTAAAATGTCATTTACGGCAGCCTACAGTCAGTATCTGATGCTGATGAAGCAAACGACCTGATGGACCTCATTTCCTCTGTAGCTGCTGTTTAAAGGCAAAGCACATCCACAGCAGATTCATATCATCAGCAGGGTAAAGTCAGTTCCCTCTGCACATCCACTTTTTGTGCATTATGGCCATTTCCTGGCTCTAACTCAAGCCAGCACGCCGTCACCCCCACGAGTTCAAGCACTTTCAGAATAGAAGACACAGGAAGTGTGAGTGACGGCAGAAATTAAAGAAAAATTAAAAAAGACAGGCAGCCTCTGCAGATATTAACCCAGAAGTTTAGATTGGAGGTACTTGACTGCTGTAACTGATGAACACGTGCATACTCACCAATGATAGGAATGTACTTCTGAATGTTTTGTGTGAGGTTTCCATCCATTATTTGCCAGTGAAAGATGTCCTGAAACAGTTTAGACGGCTGTTACGTTATTTGTCTTCACTTCAGACACATTTTGAAAGAACCCACCATCTGCAGTTTCATGTTTGGCTTTCCAACCTTCTCCAGGATCGCAGATGCTGCAGACAGAAAAAAGAAGCATTTGCTGGAAATGAGACGATATACTGAACGTCATCATTACAACATCGTGCCGTTCACGGTTCAGGATCACTGATGAATGGATTTAAACATCCCAGCTCACGTTTAGGTTTGGATTTTCCCGCTTTAGCTGTTGACTCATTTTAATGACACAGTCTGAAGGCCTTCACACACCAGCTGCATAAAAACTGCAGTTTTTGGACTGATTTTTAATGCAGCAGCTGTAATTTCACTTTTTAACCAAGCTCGATTAAACCGATCTGACCAATCAGACCACTGCATTTGGTTGGTCCAGCTCAGAGATGATGGAAGATTTTATTGCTGCTGTTGGAAACAGGCTTTTATATCATTACGCTCACGAAAAAACAAACTGATGAAACTCTTTAAAACTCTTTAAAAGTCTACAGGTTGCACATGCAACCACTGATGTCAGACTTTTTAACCTGTTCTAAAATCCTCACCTGCAACTCCACTCAAATTTGACCCAACAGGAATGAAACACGGCGCTGCATTTTAATCTCTCCACTGAGCGTGCCACACTCAGAAACCTTAACAAACTGGTGCCAAAAGTCCAATTCAGGTACCTGGACACCAGATTGGTATCAGAAAGTAGAAAATGAATAAAATAGTCGTTTTGTGTGCTGACACTGTCCATTTTTCCCCCTTTTTGCTCCTCGTTTCACAGTATGAACTGTAGCCCAGCGCTGTGGACACAGCAAAGCACCAGGAGCAAAATAGTGTTAGCATGTCTGCATGAAGGACATATAATACACTCACATCTAACATGATATCCAGAGGGTCAAAGGTCATGAGTATGACACCTGGACTGAGTCCTGATATTATCATCAGTCTCGTCAACCAGTCAACTCTGACTTGAAGCTCCAGCTGAACTCAGGTCAGCGGTTTTTGATCATTCAAAGTAAATATAACGTGTTTACAGGTCAAGGGTGTTTAGAGTGGGCGGTCTTACCCTGATGAGGAGAGTCCAGAAAATACCGGGGGTCTGTAATCCTGGTGTTGATCGGTTCAATCAGTCCAGTGATTCCTTCCTAAGAGCGAGATTGTGATCGGTGTGACTTTAATCATATTTTTCATTCATTATACACATTTTAGTATCTTAACAGGGACTCAAACCAGCAACCTTCAGGTTACTAGTTGCCAGTTTCCAACTCTGGGCGTTTGAGCTAACATCCCAGACCTGGCTCCCCACAACGTACTACAGGTGTCCAAAGTAGTGACTGTTGGCAAAAATATTTACCAAGACATCCAAACGTTTGGGGAAAACGAGCATACTGTCCACAGAAGGGTTGAAAATATCGCCCCCCCGCCCCCCGAGCATAGACCCTGGAGTCCGGTCAGAGGCTCTTCTGTTTTTGCCTTTACTCTGCTCAGTAAGTGGAAAAGGAGCAACTGATTCAACAAAAACATCATTTTGAGTCATTTTACACCAAACTATAGCAGCCCCCCCCCAAAGGAACAAATACAATCACAGCTGTTGGCTTTTACGCTGATTTTATCAGGTAATGCTGCAACTATTAAAATCAGGATTTCAGCAGAGAAACAGAATAAAACTGGAGTTTTAGCGTCTGCCATTTTTGGTCTTTTAAATTACAGTATATGAGCACATATACAGCCTCACATCATGGCCTTACTTTCAGCAAACAGTTGTTAAATGTATCCCAGTGCCAGCCCTAGAATGGATTAAATTATGTTTTATTGTAGGTCTATTTTGCAATGACTTCTAGAAGCTCCACACGAGTGCAACTGTATGTATTAAAGGGATAAATTGAGCATGAAATATTTGAAATATCAAGATTGTCTATTGTGGTATAGCCTAAAAACATTGTCCACAGGCCATTACACCCAGCTCTGTTCATATCTGGCAACAACACTGCAGCGAGAAACGATACAGAAGTGCTTCAAACGCTGTCGCAGGTCAGCGTCAGGGCTCATCCGAGTGGATGCACATGCAGTTTTCAGAGTATTTCGCTGAAAAGCAGCCGTGACACAGGAGAGTGGAGGGCTGGGAAGCGGTGACAGGGACGCCAGCTTGGAAAGTCACGGACTGATGTCGCAGTTGGCGTGGCTCCCAAGCAGAAGTTTGTGGAGAAGCAAACGGCTACAGAGCACCGAGTGACACCAGCTCATCTCTGTGCGACAGCTTTAAGCACGGGAACAGATCCAGTTGTTAGCGTGGAGATCCTGTTTCTCAGCCACGGCACCGAACCGCCAAACATTTACTTTTACTGTGCTCATCACGTGCACGCTGAAACTCTGCCTCGAGTGGAGGGACTAAATCCTTTTTCATGCACAGAGGGGAATGCATTCATAAAAGATTTATGACTGCACTGACGTGACAGCAGTGGTATGTTGGACAGAGAAGGTCACTTACCTTTGAAAGGATATCAGCAGCATATTTTAGGTTCTGCACAAAGACCGCCTCCATTTCCTTGGCAACCGTGTCTCTGTCAGAGTCCACGGGAACTCTCCCCGCCATCAGGTGAATCCTGAAAAGGAAATGTAGAAAAGATGACGCGCCGGCACACAGAAACATCTATTCTAGCTTTTAAAACACATTTATAAAGACGGCTTTTGTGCCAGACTTATTAAGGGAACTGACCTTGTCCCAAATTGGTCTGAATCGACCTTTTTCGCAGCAGACACGTTGTCTGGTTAAAGCCAGTGTCATTAACAATACCTGCGTTCTGCTGAAATGTGAGTCTGCACGAGCACCAGGAGCCTGAAGCTCCAGCAGCTAAATGGATTTTTATTTTTCACACACTGTGCCAAATCCACTCTGTACCTGCAGGGCAGGTTTACACACCTGAGAACAAAAGTGACACATAAAGATCTCCAAA